TCAATCAACCATTCATCCTAATTTCCCTTACCTCAGAACTCCAACCACTTTGAATGAAGAGAAAAGGGAGAATAAGGAAGAATGAGCAACCCCATGAAAAACTTTACACTCGCACAATCCTCAACTCCAACAACTTCGAATCACCACCTCAAGGGTTAAAAGGACCTCTCACACCTTTGGGAAATCTAGAAGGAGGAAGAAGAAATCAGAAATCTCCAAGACTCATCTTTCTCTTGTTTATCTCTCTAGAAACATGAAGAAGAAGCTTAGAAATTCATTCTAAAAAGAAACTATTTATACTTTTCTCTCTTAAGTTTAATTGGATCTTTAACTAGAGACCTCCCGCTCTTAGAGTTACTCTACAATTTTCAAGTACCTGAAAATCAATTGGTCAACTGCGACAAAATTAATCTATAGACAAAGTACTAATTGGTCAACTTGTAATGTAATAAAATTAATCTATGGACAAAGTACTAATATATATAAAGCATGCATGAATATAAATTAATCTGTTTAAATGAATAAATCCGTAATATAAATAAAGAGCTCTGAATTAATAAAAATTGAGAAGTTTGATTCAAGAAAAAGGATTATTATTAGTATTTTTGTGTTTTGTTAAAAATTTTAAAACTGATCATCAACTGAGAAACGATGGGAACACAATTTACAGAGGCTTATTAGGTTGACAGAATGGACCAAAAAGTTAGACAGTTAAAAATTAAAATATCAAAATGCTAGCTGTCTTACCACTTTTTGTGGTTGTTGGTAGATATTATTCCCTACAAAGCAATATGAAATGTCCTTGAAGCAAATAAAGGCAACATTATATATATATATTTTTTTTAGGTTCGTAGGCAACATTATATTTAAAGTTGTATTATTTTTATTTACCCTTTATGATAAAAAAAATGATAAATTAATGTGATAGCAATGTGATAAGAAAGAAAGAAAGGGATAAAAATTTAAAAAGAAAATGATCATGAAATTGGAATAGAAGAAAAAGTGAATATATAAATACGTACAATAACCCTTTACTATTTTTCTCTTCTTTTTCTGTATCTCTTTTAGCTTTTAAAAGCACTACAACAAAATATACTTTTAGTGGTATTTAATATAATTTTTAGTGGCAATAAAAATTGTTACAAGATCTTTTACCGGCATTTTCACATTAGTCATTGTATGCAGTGTCGCTAAAGCATTTAGCGGCAATTATTCAAAATGCCGGTAAAAACACTTATAATGGTCGAAAAAAGTGTATATCTTTTTGTGACATTTTTTACTTTCTAGTCGATGTGGGACTTGTAAGATACTTTCTAGTTGATGTGTGACTTGTAAGATGAGTACAAATAAATAATTACTTTATCTCTAGTTGATGTGAGACTTGTAAGATGAGAGTTGTCTTTTTACTTATATATTCTTTTTAATTATCTTATTTCTAGTTGATGTGGGGCTTTAAGATGAAGGTTATCTTCTAATTATATATATATAATTATTTTCTTATCAGTAGTCGACCCTCTTAAGTTTAAGGATTATTGAGTTTGATAATAGTGAGTAATCTCATACTAATTTAGAATAATAAGGTCTAACTCAATCCTACATAACAAACTTGTAAGGTGAGAGTTATTATTCATTTATATACTCTTTAATTATTTTATTTCTAGTCGACGTGGGACTAAAGTTTTTCTTAATAAATAATTGTCGCTAATAGTAAATTTTGGTGTGATATAAATATATTTTTAGTGACCATTATATATTAGTCACTAATACTTTTATTAAATAATAAAACAAAGGCAATTAATTTATTGCTGGTAAATAATTGTCGGTAAAAATAAATTTTGTTGTAGTGAAGAATGTATAAAAAAAAATATACAAATGATCTAATCACTCTTTTATTTATTCGTGTGACATCAAATATTTTAATTTAAAGTGTTTCGATATTCAATAACATTTTACTTGATTTTTTTTTTACCTATAAAAACCAAATTCAACACCAAAATACTTACAATAATTTATACCCCGCCGAAGCAACCTAGCTACTTGTATTGACTTCGACTATGACGATTAAACTCAAAAATACGTATTTAATAGCTTAAAGAATTCATTTTTAATATTATGATTTAAAAAATGTATTTAAAATATATTTTGATAAAAAGTTGTTAGATCAAAATGTTCAATATTTATACTCTTAACTAAATATTGGAACTTGATCTCTATTTTAAGTATAGAGACGGAATATATTTTATTGTTATAAAAGTGGATCCAGTTTTTGATAGTTATTTATTTATTTATTTATTTATATTGAAAATGAATTAAAATTAAGATGGATAAAGTGGCGGAGGAATTGTTGTGACCAGTGAGACCACAAAGTGATGAAAAATTACGTAGCATCCACAATTAATAGAGGTGTATTAATTTGTGGTGGTATGGTGCACACATGCTCATAGTGGAAGATAGTGGGGGACATTGCACAAATTGCTTCTTTGATAATGAACTATCACGTTGGGGAATCGTTCACTTCACTTTTCACCAGTCAACCAGTTTTTTGGAAGAATAATTTTATTTTCTCGTAAATTTTTTTATAATTTATGTTGTTATCATTCTCAATCATGCGTATTATCCTTTTCATCACGTATTTTTCCTCCTTTATATGTGAAAAGTGTCATCATTAAAAAGAGAAACAAGATATTATTTTTAAAAAACTTTTAACTCACCAAATTCCATTTGAAGCTAATAGCTAGGTGCTATTCCGTAAGTGGTATGCAATATATATTTATTTCGACACTGAACATGTAACTGGTTTATTACAATTTGAATGTTCACATCAGGCGAAGGTATGGTGGAGTATAATGTGAAAATATGCGACAGGTTATTTAGGATAAGTCAATAAATATTTATCAAATAATAACTACCCTCGTCCTATATATCTACCCCCTAAATATAGTTATATACGACGTGTCGTCACAGCCACAAAAGACATGGATGGTAAATTCAATCCCTTGCGTAGGTAGATTTTTTTTAATCACATTTAATGCTTAAATTAAAATATACTTGTCGTTGGAAATAATATCTTCATCGATTTAATTTAACCATCCTATATATTCAAAAGAGAAAAATATTAGAGATGTAATTTCCTATTATAATATGTCAACCATTAGGGATAATATCCACAAACTCTTGGATTTTAATTTTGTTGTTTTCATTATACGCGTAAAAAAAAAAGGAAAAAAGATATATGGGAGAAATTTATTTGGTGTCAATCTTCTCGTGGCTTATCGTAAACAACAAGGAATTGATGAGGTAGAGAGAATACAAAAGTGACTTTAGGCTTGTTTGTTTAAATAGAAGTTGAGTAAGAGGAGAAAGTAATTTTAATTAAGTTGTTTGTTTAAGAAAAAGAAATAGAAAAAGAGGAAAAAAAATAAAGTATGCGTTTTTATTTCAAAAAGTTTCTTCTTATGAGAAGCAAATTCAGAAATGGGTGAAAAACGGATTAAGCGAGACTAATTACTAAAAATTTCAACTTTAATTTTATTATTTGTTGACTCATTTTCTTTTTCTTCATCTTTCTATCGAGTAAACACCTAATTTGATCTTTAAAAGATGGTAGAGATAATTGATAGGTCTTTGAAAGATTTTTTGTAATATTTGAATATCTAGATTTTAATTTTGTTATGTAAGTTAGTCGTTTTGTTATACTTAATTTCTAACTCTGATTAATTTCTTAATCAGTCAGTACCTAAGTATTAAGTTGATACTTATTCTCTCTGTCAATTGACTATTCTTTTTCTTAATCACCTAATATAGACCATAATGCAAGGTTTTCGTACTCTCTAATAAGTAATGAACAAATTTTCATGTTTAAATATTTTGGCCATGGGTGCTTTACTTAAAATGGAATATTGATGTTGAGTTTTGTAGGATTTCCTGTTGTTGAATTTTTCTATGTTAGTTATTATTAATTTCTTTGTTTGTTATGATTATGGATTTAAGATTATAAACTCTAAATTATTAAATTTGGAATTTAGTAAAATGAGTAGTCATTATAAAAAATTTCAAGCAAGAATGCACCAATCGAATATAAGTACTTCTAAGAAATAAGGAAATACTTAATAGTAATAGTCCTATTTGTTACCGTAGAAACAAGGCTCTGTGAGAGTTTTACAAACAACCAAAAATCAAGGAAATTTATTTTACTTGTCCTATGTCAAGGGTATGACAATTATATTATTAATATTTATATTTTTTTTCTTTTTTGTTATCTTTTAATTATCTAACATTCGGGTTGTTTTCTTTCATTAAATTTTCACTTGTTCTGCACATATCAGTTTTGCAAGTGAAATAAAATATTAGAATGAAAATGAGTGAAAAGAAATAAGTTATTCAAACATTTCTTTAGTCATTTTTAAATTAAATTAAAAATTAAACCTTACTTTATTATATAATTCTATTTAGTTATGTTAATTCTTAAATTTGGAAAGTAATAGATTCCTAAATTTACCATTTTAATCCTTAAATGTAGTCATTATCTTTTATCTCGTACTTATTTCTATAGTAACAAGGCAAAATGCATGGATGGATTGGTAAATTCAACCGCGCGTATGCTTGGGCGGTAAGTAATGGCATTCAATCTTTGGTCATAAATGTCATTTACCATCTCATTTGACAAAACATATAACTGTTATAGTGTAGTACTTGCAAGTGAGAGTTTCTTAGTGTGTTAGATCTTATTTTTCAACTCTAATTCTAATCGAGAATACTACTATTTAGTCACTAAGCTACTAGTTTTTTAAAATATTTTTCTAACGAATATTGTTAATGCATAATGTTTATGTTCCTCCTTTTGCATAACCTATTATAGGCTTACAATGAGGCAATCGAGAGCCCACATGAACAGATTTTCTATTGCTATAAATGACTCCCATTTGACGTACATCAAGACCAAGTTCCAATTACATACAATCATGAACGTGTTCACTAAAAAACAACACCGTTTTTGTTGTTTTTTCACACACCGCCTCAGATTCTTGCCTCGTTTTGTAGCCTTCCATTTCCACCCCTTCTTTCTTCAACTTTGTTATTTCCTCATCCTTTCTATGCTTGGTTACTTCTCTCTCAAGCTCTCAAAGCCAAGGACCCGTGTTAGACCAAATGACTTGGACCTCTTTTTCACATCTGTTTCTGCTTCCACAGTTTCTAGCATGGTTGCCGTTGAGATGGAGGTTTTCTCCAATTCTCAACTCATTCTCCTCACCCTTCTCATGTTTCTTGGCGGGGAAGTTTTCACTTCCATGCTAGACCTTGTACTTGCTAGGTATAAAGTTACCACCAATCCTTTTTCACCCACAAGCAAGACCGGTACCCCATTTAAAGCCAACCAAGTTGAGCTTGGTTTAGTAACTATTCCTCATTCAGAATCAGAAAACCACAAACCAAGTGATAGTGATAAACTTAAGTATAACTCTCTTATTTATCTTACTTTTGTGGTTTTAGGTTACCTTATAGTGGTTCAATTTGTTGGCTTTAGTTTGGTATCTTTGTACATAAGTTTGGTACCAAGTGCAAGACAAGTACTGAAAAACAAAGGCATTAAGATTGTAACATTTTCTTTGTTTACCATAGTCTCCACTTTTGCTAGTTGTGGTTTTATCCCCACCAACGAGAACATGATGGTTTTCAAGAACAATTCGGGGCTTCTCCTCCTTCTCCTCCCACACGTCCTTCTAGGTAACACCCTTTACCCACCGTGTTTGAGGCTTGTGATAATGCTTCTGAAAAAGGTTACCAGAAGAGAAGAGTATTCGTACTTGCTCAAGAATTTCAAAGACATGGGGTATGATCATATGCTCTCTGCTCTTCATTGTTGCCTCCTGGTAGCTACTGTCTTGGGTTTGAATGTTGTACAATTTGTGATGCTGTGCTCCATGGAGTGGAACTCCAACATCATGGAGGGTTTGAATGTGTATCAGAAACTGGTTGCGTCGTTATTTCAAGTTACTAACGCCAGACACTCTGGTGAATCTGTTTTTGATCTCTCTTCCATCTCTTCAGCCATATTGGTACTCTTCATTGTCATGATGTAAGTCACCACTCTCTCTCTCTCTCTCTTTCTCTCAGTATCATCCAAGCTAGCGATTCATACCATGAAGTAAATAATTCATATCTGTTAAGATGTAATTATAATTAACTAATCAATTCAAAGTGACAAATATTTCATTAATATCTATAATCTACCATATCTTTTTTATTTCTGTCTTCTATGTGGTATTAGTTATCATACTTAACTGGTTATCATACTTGAGTGTCAATTTTATACATCATTTTTTATTGAAAATATTCATTTCAAATGAGTCAATGCTATTCTCACTGATAAGAAAAGTTAAAATATATAAATAATATGATAAAAAAAAAACATTAATTTGAATATGTGGACACAAGATACCGCAGTATACATACAATTTTCTCAAGTAGATGATATTTGAATGAACAATTTATTAACAAGAGAATGAATGAATATATTACATTTTAGTGGTAAATCTTATTGGTGTTTGTTACATAATTTATTAAACACACCCTTGTATTTGGAAAGAACTTCTATTATTTTGATTAAATTAATAAATATTTTATCAAACATACACTTTTTGTTTGGAAAGCACTAATTCCTTCGTGCAAAATAAAATCTAGTGTCAAACCCACTATATTAGGTTAATGGTAAAAAAATATTAGATAGTTTAACACCACTATGATTAATCTTTATGTGACACATGTTAAAATTTATCAATTTTTGAAAGAAAAATTTATAATGATATATACCTAATTACATGCTATATGAAAATTAATGAGAACCATGATAGTCTCATACTATCTTATAATTTTTCTAATAGTGAGAATTTAAATAATTTACATGAAATACTAGTTCAAGTTTGATGTATGTGTATATAAGTTTCATTATTTTATGGAATAAAATACTCAAATTACTCTATAAATTTGAAAGACGTTATCACATTATATAAATATATATATTCAAGATAAAAAAATGACAAGTAAATAATTAAATTTAAAGGATTATTTAACATTCTAAGAGCTTATTTACCAATTTATTAATTTTAAGAATTAATATGACAAGTCTTTAAAAATTAGAGACGGAAATGATTGTTTAATTTTAGAGAAATTCTATGGTACCCATCTCATTTAAGAGGGTATCAGTACAGTTTTTTATATTTTATATTTTTAGTAATTTATTTAAATAATATTTATAATATTTTATCCTTTCAATTTTTAAATTATTTAGTCATTTTATTTTTATTTTATATATTCTAATTTATTTGTAATAATATTATTATATATTTAAATAGTTTAATTTTAATAATTTTTTAAGTATATTTTTATCTTTTCACTTAAAATTTTTGAATTTTTATATTTTAATTTTAATAATTTTTTAAGTATATTTTTTGTCTTTTTATCTTAAATTTTTGAATTTCTATATTGTAATTTTAATAACTTTTTATTTCTACTATTTATTAATTTTTTCTTTTTCTTTAATATTTTATAATATTATTGAAAACTTATAATTTTAATCTCTATAATTTTATCTTACTTTTTATTTTATAAGTATAATTTAGATTATTTATTTTATAATTAAATTAATTTTTTTTAAAAAAAATTATGAGTTTACATAGAAAAATGTATTGAAACTCTTCCATCTTTGAGGGTATCGTAGCAACTCCCTTAATTTTATTTTTTATTAAAATATTGTATATGATATTGAATATAATAGTTTTTATTTTTATTTTTATTTCATGTATAGGCATTTTAAAGTAATTCTAAAATAAAAAATATATATTATCCTAGTTTAATTTTGATGAATTGATTTTCCCAACAGCACGTAACATTCCCTAGTTGACATCGATTGCATTGCATGATTGGACACATGCAACAAAATATTGTGATCAGTAGCTGTACCTTTCCACCCAGTTTGCCTATTGCGGCCAAGGGCCTGCAATGGTGGGACGCGTAAAGAATCGATCTGCTAATGAATCAAGTTATTGGTGTTAGTCACATATCTCTAGATGTATACTTCATTCCATTCCTGACAGTAACGTTAAACAAATTATTATCAAGCACGTGTTGGATCTCTTAAGATGCATCCCAAATAACTTTGTTTTTTTACAAAATTATAAAATTCAAGACAATTTTTTAAATTCATATTATTTCACGCACAATCATATCTCAGAATTCCTTTTCTGAGAAAAAATCAATGGATATATATTCCAGTTCCATATATATGTCAGTGGGAGGATAGAATATATGCAAACACTCACTTATATATTGCAATTTACGTTTCATAGCAATAAAAATAAAATAAAAATAAATTATACATAGATATCTCTGTTCCTAAAGGTTCTGCTCCAACTGGTAATAATGAAGAAAATATATATTCGCTAACAAGATTTGAACGCTATATATACAAGCAGTAAAGCAAGTGTGGAAGCTTGTTGAGAGCAATTAACTAAACGGTGAATTAATGAAGTAGATATATAGAGATTATGGTGATAATTGGGTGGAGAGATTTATTTGATATAATTTTGATTTGATTTGTCTAACAGGTACCTGCCACCATACACAACATATTTACCTGTAAATAGAGAGAAGGAAAATGATGTGAAGAGAAAGGAAAAAAGCATAGTGGAGTGTGTTGTAATGTCCCAACTCTCATACTTGGTTATTTTCATTATTTTGATTTGCATAACTGAGAGCAAAAGCTTAAAAGAGGATCCCCTCAACTTTAATGTCTTGAACATCACCCTAGAAGTCATCAGGCAAGTAAATATTTATTTTACATTCAATTCGTTCGTTGCATATATATTATGTTAATACACACACACGTGTCGCACATACATGTGTACAAAAGACCAACCTTACTTTTTATGCAAATTAAGGAAAACTATATATATAATGTGCAGTGCTTATGGGAATGTGGGGTTCTCAACGGGATATAGCTGCGCAAGGCAATTGAAACCAAATGGTATGTGCAAAGATTCATGGGTTGGATTTTCCGGTAGATGGAGTAACAAAGGCAAGTTCATCCTTATCTTGGTCATGTTCTTTGGGAGGCTCAAGAAATTCAACATGAAAGGTGGCAAAGCATGGAATCTCTCATAGCACTTAGATATATATACTTAACAGCACCCCTGCTGCAACCACTATGCACTTGCATTGCATCTGCATGTATGGATATATTATGAGAGATTTAGAACTTTTACCATCACAAAAAGGTTTGGATTGTATGATCCGGATTAGAACAATCTCAATCAATTTTCATTTTTTCGTAAAATAGTCGAGTTTAAAAATTTCTTGTAAATTAAAAACTTCCTATGTTATTTGTGTGTATTAGTTTGAACTAATTAATATAAATTAATGGTAGTATACAACTATATGTTATAATTTCTTGGCAAAACACCTAATTTGGTCCTTTATAATAATTAATAGTTTCAATTTCGTCTCTCAATAATTTTTTTGTTTCAATTTAGTCTCCAATAATTTAAAAAATGTCAATGTGGGACTTTCTGTCCAAATTTCACAAACGGCGTTAAATGTGATGACGTCAATGTCACGTAGATGCATAGGTAGCATGCCTCCTCTCCCCCTTCTTTAATGATCTGGAACGGCCCGTTCTGAAACTAGAACGGCCCGTTCCTCTTGCATTCCTTGTGTGTTAATTTTACATCTGGAACGGGCTGTTATAGATTAAAAAAAAACACACAAAGAATGCAAGCGGAACGGGTCGTTCTGGTTTCAGAATGGGTCGTTCCAGATCCAAGGATTGTTCTTGAATATCTTAGTTCTCTCCATATTGAAATTTTAACCGGGGCAAATTGTGAACCAGGATTGATTTTCTTTAAACTTTTTAATATAGAGTATTGTCTCAATTTGGAGAAATTTAATGGTATCTTTGAATTTCAAACCATAAGGGAAAAAAATCCAAGATCATTTAATTCATACATGTTTTGGGGCGTTGTAACAGGGTCATACACAATGAGAGACTGGTTAATGCAATTCATCTACATTCTTCATGTTGTCATTAAAATTATGCATAAGTTTATTGCATCTACCGTTCTAGGCCGTGGCAGCTCAGACGATAAACTACGCCTAATTGATTTATTATTTATATGGGCAATGATGAAAAATAAGGATGAAAAGATCAACTGTGGTGCATATTTTAATATTTAAATTTATGTTATGTTATGAATTTTTTCTTTCAATCTTTGAACTACATTGCTACATTTTGTTGAACATTTTGTTAAAATGTAACACTTAAATTTAAACATCAATCCTGGTTGGCGTTCCAGAACGGCCCGTGCTGAATCCAGAACGGGCTGTTTTGATTCACTCGTTGTGTGTTACATTTGCATCTGGAACGGGCCGTTTCAGTTACAAAATTAACACATAACGAGTGAGATCAGAACGGCTCGTTCTAGTTTCAGAACGGGCCGTTCTAGGTTCATTAAAGAAGGACTATGGAAACTTGCCACGTATTGTCACGTATGTATCTCCATGGCATCCACGTCATCTACATTTGACACCGTTTGTAAAATTTGGACGGAAAGTCCCACATTGACATTTTTTAAATTATTAGAGACGAAATTGAAACTATTAATTATTATAAGGTATCAAATTAAGTGTCACTAGTGCAAAAAGAGTCTTTTACGTCACCTAAATAACGTCGGAAAATGGCACCACCGACGTTATAAAAACGCGGTGGCATGTACCGTAATTTTGGCAGATTATTTACGTCGGTCCTAACTGGGTCCGACGTAAATTTTAACATCTACGTCGGCTACGCATTGTGTCCGACGTAAATATTAAAATTTACGTCGGCCCTTATTGGGTCCGACGTAAATAACCCACTGCTGGTTATTAAAAGAAGGTGCATTATGTGCGCGCAGTGTAGTTTCAAAAATTCTCCTCCCGCGCGCAAAGGCTGAAGTGGATCTCCTTCTTCCTCTTCTCCTTTAGAGTTGCTTTTCAGGGATTCATTTCAAGCTTTTCCTTCTTCCTCTTCAACAACTTAGATTTCTTCTCCCGTGCTTCTCGTTCAGCTTGGAACCACGAAGTTTACATATTCGAGGTTAGGGGCACTATCTTGTTTTTCTATGAGTAGCATTTCCAGTTTTTCTCGTTCAACTTTGTGCTGCATTTCCAGTTTTTGAAGCTGGAGAAGGAAGTGACCACGTCCGGATTTGGAGCTGGGTCTATCAAGCAGAACGGGTCGTTCTCCAAGCAGAACGGGCCGTTCTGCTTGCATTCAGTTTTTTTTTATAAATTTTTTATGAGTTTTTACGTCGGACGTTCTCATGTCCGACGTAAATTTACGTCGGTTTTCATGCCCCGACGTAAATTTACGACTCCCGCTTTTATGTCGGACGTTTTTCTGACGTAAAAACCCCTAAAATAACCGACGTAAAATGTGTATTGTGTACTAGTGTGTTTTGCCTAATTTCTTTGACTCAATGAATACAAAGGAGAATTATAAGAGTATTTATATAGATGTTGATTACAAAATCAAGAATAACTAGAATAATAATAGAAAGTTGACCGACTCTAACTACAATAAAACCATATAGTAACTAACTACTTTTCAAAATAGTCTTAACAATTACAAAACATTAATATCAATTAATTAATGTTCGAATCGATCAAATGTAGAAGCATATTAGGGCTGTTCAAAAAAACCAAAAGAACCAAATTGAATTTAAAACCAGACCAAACCATTTAAAAAAAACTGGAACTAATTATAATAAAATTGAACTAGATTTAATTTTTAAAATAAAACTTAAAAACTGAACCTAATTTTTTAAAAAAGTTTGGTTCACTAAAACTGGAGTGTTGGCAGTCCGCCTCGTCTCCGTGTTGATTCCCATGACCAAACTCTTGGCCTTGCTATGATTTGTGAGTCAATTGCAAGCAGCCGTCTGTGGAAGCTTGATCACAATGCCTGGTTGGGTAGTCCACCCCTTTTGCTGAGATTGGCTATTGTAGATTTGGCTCTGCCACGGAGAGCAGAAAGTGCTTATAATATTTCATTATTCATTGATATGCTCATGCCAGAAAGAATATATTCCCTTCATGATGGATGGATTCACTCAATAGTTTTGCATTTTCTTCCATTTACAAGTCAGACAAATTGCAAGGACGATCCAATGAAAACACCATCTGTACACCCTGTTCTAAATACTTGCAAGAGTGGATTCACCTCAGAGCCTTCACTTTGTGGGTTTGTGTCGTTATCGGATTCATTTGGATATTCATGGATTGTAGCTATTACTCTTTCTCAAGAATGTGTTGTGCTTGAGATGAAAAGTTGGAACCTCTTGCTTCCTGTAAGCATTGATACAGAGAAGAAACCCTGTTCTAAAACTAGTTTATTTCTTAAAAATGATTCAAAAACTGGTTTGGTTATGAAACTGGTTTTAAACTGATTATAAACTTGTTCATTAAAGTAGTTCAATTTTAAAATGGTTTATTAAAGTAGTTCACATAATTTATAAACCAATTCATTTTATTAAAATAGTGTGGTGCAGTTTTTTTAAAAAACCAAACTATACACACTCCTAAAGCATATAATGATCTAGATATGTTCATGTATTTAGCGTCACACTGAATTATTATCGGTTTGACTTGTCCCGTCCCACTTCACTACAGGATATATGTTAAAGAAGTTGTATTGTTCGTGGCAAGCAACACTATAATTAATATTTCATCTTCAGATTGAATGTGAAGGTACATACCTATATATTTAGATAAGTGATGAGCAATATAAAAGTGGAAATACACAATTAGATTTTCATCGTAAGGTAAGGTGTGTGTGTGACAATTAGATTTTTCATCTTAATTGAGGTAAGATATGTGTGTGAAGAAAATAATGTTTGTTATTTAACAAAAATGTTGGCGATGTGTAACGAAAATAATATTTGTTATTTAACAAAAATGTTGGCCAAATAATACAATCAATAGAATGTCATTTTAACAAGTATGTCTTTACTGTGTAATAAAGTATAAGCGTGATGTTAACATGATGTCTGTACTGTGTATTAAAATATGAGGGTGTTATTTAATGCTTCCTTTTAAACTTATGTATAACGTTAAATGCATTTAATTTCAATGATTTTATATAAAATATGCATCGTATTTATTAAAATATTTTTAATCTCTTTTATTATAAATAGTGTTTTTATTTTTTACTTTTAAAATATTTTTTGGATAAAAAAATTAAATAATACTTTTATAAATAGTATTTTCATTTATTATTTTAAACTTTCACTTTACTTATATTTAAAGTAATATATATATATATATATATATATATATATATATATGAATTTCAAATTAACCAATCAAATATTGCAAAACCACTCACCAAGCAAAGAGTATAAAACGGCTTCTGTTTAAATTCACGCCACCTTTAAATTCGTATGATTTCGTACAAAAAAGTTTTGTACTAATTATCATTTTCCCTAAAATATTACATCAATAACTTGTTAAATAGTTAAGATAATAGATGAAAAAAATTATACAATTAAAATAGTGAATAATTAAATTTGAAAGAAAAAAAAATCAACGTAGTTCAAAATTTTAAAAAAAATAAGAAAAAAGCGTAATTGGAATTATATGTTTTATTAGTCAATATTTTGGGAATGCCATTTAAATTTATATGTTATACGTTCAGAAGGGGTGAACATAATTTTTATCGCTAAATTCAAATATAAGTAATAATATGTTTTTAATTATTATCTATGACAGCAAGAGTGTGCTTAATAAATTATGTATTGAATCATTATCTCTATTCTATCTAACTTTCTTCAAATTAACCCAAATAGATAGTCACAATCCAGAGAAGATTTTTGTGGGCTGGTAATAAAGGAAGTGAAAAAATGGCATGCGTAAATTGGGATAAAATTAGGGAAACAAAGAGTAATGGTGAATTGGGTATAAAAAATGTCACAAAATTCAATGTATGTCTACCCGCAAAATGGAGGTACAACTTATTCCATCAAGAGGACAAACATTGTGGGGGAGATGTTATAATGTATTTATTTACGAATTAAGATGGGATGTTTTGGTTAGCACATGTATTGTATCTGTATATCTGTATCTGTAATTTTTCCACTGTTAAAATTAGAATGTTCAAAAACAGATTATGTTGATGTTGTGTCTTCTTTGTCTCCGTCGACCTCTCCTGATTTAGAACTCTCAATCAAATAGAACTAAAGAAAATCAATCTCAGCAATGTTGTACTCCACCAGAACATAACTGACATCTTCAGTTCTATGTTCCTGCAGTGGCGGCACCCTAGTAAACAGACTCATAATAACCATATCAAGAACGGTGTTGCCCTCTAGGCGAAATTATTCAAATCTTTCACTGAAAACTCCGCTAGGACAGGCTCATTCATCTCTATCACGGTAACTCCTTCAGACTACAACATTAAAACCAAAACATTATGATCATGAAATGTGATGAAAACTCGACATAACAAGGTACAATTTCTCACCTTTTTCACAAGTTTTCATCTCTATGTCCGTAACTTCATCTTGACCATTTCCAATTTCAACAAATCCGTTGGTAGAAAATTCAACATTCTCTTTAGTCACCGAAATGACAACTTCAAGATACACAACAAGACAATCATTCATAAGCATAACCTTTTAAACAAAAACAAACACAAAACTGAAAATTTAAACCTAACGTGTCAAAGTAATATATATATATATATATATATATATATATATATATGAATTTCAAATTAACCAATCAAATATTGCAAAACCACTCACCAAGCAAAGAGTATAAAACGGCTTCTGTTTAAATTCACGCCACCTTTAAATTCGTATGATTTCGTACAAAAAAGTTTTGTACTAATTATCATTTTCCCTAAAATATTACATCAATAACTTGTTAAATAGTTAAGATAATAGATGAAAAAAATTATACAATTAAAATAGTGAATAATTAAATTTGAAAGAAAAAAAAATCAACGTAGTTCAAAATTTTAAAAAAAATAAGAAAAAAGCGTAATTGGAATTATATGTTTTATTAGTCAATATTTTGGGAATGCCATTTAAATTTATATGTTATACGTTCAGAAGGGGTGAACATAATTTTTATCGCTAAATTCAAATATAAGTAATAATATGTTTTTAATTATTATCTATGACAGCAAGAGTGTGCTTAATAAATTATGTATTGAATCATTATCTCTATTCTATCTAACTTTCTTCAAATTAACCCAAATAGATAGTCACAATCCAGAGAAGATTTTTGTGGGCTGGTAATAAAGGAAGTGAAAAAATGGCATACGTAAATTGGGATAAAATTAGGGAAACAAAGAGTAATGGTGAATTGGGTATAAAAAATGTCACAAAATTCAATGTATGTCTACCCGCAAAATGGAGGTACAACTTATTCCATCAAGAGGACAAACATTGTGGGGGAGATGTTATAATGTATTTATTTACGAATTAAGATGGGATGTTTTGGTTAGCACATGTATTGTATCTGTATATCTGTATCTGTAATTTTTCCACTGTTAAAATTAGAATGTTCAAAAACAGATTATGTTGATGTTGTGTCTTCTTTGTCTCCGTCGACCTCTCCTGATTTAGAACTCTCAATCAAATAGAACTAAAGAAAATCAATCTCAGCAATGTTGTACTCCACCAGAACATAACTGACATCTTCAGTTCTATGTTCCTGCAGTGGCGGCACCCTAGTAAACAGACTCATAATAACCATATCAAGAACGGTGTTGCCCTCTAGGCGAAATTATTCAAATCTTTCACTGAAAACTCCGCTAGGACAGGCTCATTCATCTCTATCACGGTAACTCCTTCAGACTACAACATTAAAACCAAAACATTATGATCATGAAATGTGATGAAAACTCGACATAACAAGGTACAATTTCTCACCTTTTTCACAAGTTTTCATCTCTATGTCCGTAACTTCATCTTGACCATTTCCAATTTCAACAAATCCGTTGGTAGAAAATTCAACATTCTCTTTAGTCACCGAAATGACAACTTCAAGATACACAACAAGACAATCATTCATAAGCATAACCTTTTAAACAAAAACAAACACAAAACTGAAAATTTAAACCTAACGTGTCTTCGTATTATATTGTCCGCTTTGGGCCCAGCTCTTACGATTTTGCTTTTGGACATCATCCATGTTCATCTCTATGTCTTTAACTTCATCTTGACCATTTCCAGTTTCAACAAATTCGTTTGTAGAAAATTCAACATCCTCTTTAGTCACCGAAATGACAACTTCAAGATAGACCACAAGACAATCATTCATCTCTATCACGGTAACTCCTTCAGGCTACAACATTAAAACTAAAACATTATGATCATGAAATGTGATGAAAACTCGACATAACAAGGTATAGTTTCTCACCTTTTTCACAAGTTTTCATCTCTATGTCCGTAACTTCATCTTGATCATTTCCAGTTTCAACAAATTCGTTGGTATAAAATTCAACATTCTCTTTAGTCACCAAAATGACAACTTCAAGATACACAACAAGACAATAATTGATGAGCATAACCTTTTAAACAAAAACAAACACAAAACTGTAAATTTAAACCCAACGTGTCTTCATATTATATTGTCCGCTTTGGGTCCAGCTCTTACGATTTTGCTTTTGGACATCATTCATGTTCATCTCTATGTCCGTAACTTTATCTTGACCATTTCCAGTTTCAACAAATCCGTTGGTAGAAAATTCAATATTCTCTTTAGTCACCGAAATGACAACTTCAAGATACACCACACGACAATCATTCATCTCTATCATGGTAACTCCTTCAGGCTACAACATTAAAACCAAAACATTATGATCATGAAATGTGATGAAAACTCGACATAACAAGGTACAGTTTCTCACCTTTTTCCCAAGTTTTCATCTCTATGTCCGTAACTTCATCTTGACCAGTTCCAGTTTCAACAAATCCGTTCGTAGAAAATTCAATATTCTCTTTAGTCACCGAAATGACAACTTCAAGATACACAACAAGACAATAATTGATGAGCATAACCTTTTAAACAAAAACAAACACAAAACTAAAAATTTAAACCTAACGTGTCTTCATATTATATTGTCCGCTTTGGGCTCAGCTCTTACAATTTTGCTTTTGGACATCATCCATGTTCATCTTTATGTCCGTAACTTCATCTTGACCATTTCCAGTTTCAACAAATCCGTTGGTAGAAAATTCAACATTCTCTTTAGTCAACGAAATGACAACTTCAAGATACACCACAAGACAATCATTGATGAGCATAACCTTATAAACAAAAACAAACACAAAACCGAAAATTTAAACCCAACGTGTCTCCATATTATATTGTCCACTTTGGGCCCAACTCTTACGGTTTTGCTTTTGGATATCATCCATGTTCATCTCTATGTCCGTAACTTCATCTTGGGCATTTCCAGTTTCAAATAATTCGTTGGTAGAAAATTCAACATTCTCTTTAGTCACCGAAATGACAACTTCAAGATACACCGCAAGACAATCATTGATGAGCATAACCTTTTAAACAAAAACAAACACAAAACCGAAAATTTAAACCCAACGTGTCTCCATATTATATTGTCCGCTTTGGGCCCAGCTCTTACGATTTTGCTTTTGGATATCATCCATGTTCATCTCTATGTCCGTAACTTCATCTTGGGCATTTCCAGTTTCAACAAATTTGTTGGTAGAAAATTCAACATTCTCTTTAGTCACCGAAATGACAACTTCAAGATACACCACAAGACAATCATTGATGAGCATAACCTTTTAAACAAAAACAAACACAAAATCAAAAATTTAAACCTGTCTCCATATTATATTGTCCGCTTTGGGTTCAGTCCTTACGATTTTGTGTTTGGACATCATCCATGTCCATCCTCTGGTTTGAAAGAGATTAAGAGAAAGAAGACGTCTCACACAAATTAAACGGACAAAATATAAATTCAAAGCTTCTCAACAACTTGTTGTGTGTGACACCCTCTACCCCGCATATCCTACTTCAATAAAT